TATTAGGAGGAACTTCCTGATGATCAGAGCTGTTCGACAGTGGATGATGCTCCCTTAGAAAGTGATGGAGTCTCCTTCTTTGGAGGTTGTTTTTAAGCAAAGGCTAGATTGCCATCTTTTGGGGATGCTTTGATTGTGAGTTCCTGCATGGCAGAATGAGGTTGGACTTGATGGCCTCATGGGTTCTCTTCCGACTTTATGATTCTCTGCTTCTAAGAAACAAACATGCCTGAGCTGTGGGTGCGAGTCTTGTCTGCTGCTGGAAAAAAAAGACCTTTAGAAGAACCCATCCTCTCCCTTTATTTGCAGCAAGGACCGGATGTTGAGTAGACAAGTTTCTCAAAGGGGAATAGCAAATGTGGTGCTACTCAATACTGGGCTTCCTAGTCATGCTCAAAATGGAGGATGTTGTGGACAGAAGGTGGGAATGTAGGGCATGTCCTGGAAAAGGAGGACACCCGGTCACCTTGTGTGGTGGAGCTTCGGAGAAGCTGCAAAATGGGCTGAACACTTTCCATTCCCTCACCTTAGGACCTTATCACGCGCTGGCCACGAGGCGAAAAGTAACCGAAATAAGAATAAATTCAGTTCTATACCGAAATGAACTGAATTTCGCCTGCGCGGCCATTGCGCAATGATTCTGAAAGCTCCCTTGTACTTCCCCGAAAAACCGAATGTCAAAAGATCTCAATTCGTTACGGATTAGCTCCGGGTTCTGTCAAGTTTCTGTGCAACGTCGTGTGTAAACACGGGGAAATAATATGTATTAGCTTCGGATACCCTTTGGATTAATTAGGTCTGCTTTAGACCCCGTGTGATAAGGTCCTTAGAGACAAGTCTGCAGTTTAGGAAAATGTCCAGGGAAAAAGGGTGTCGCACAGAAACACAAGCACACAAACGCACACATCCCTTTGTATCAGTGCAGCGGCCTCCTTGGTTTGCAGACCTCCAAACCCTTTGGGCAAAGCATCTTGCTTGCAATGGCAAAACTGCTGGCATGTTTAAGGCAGAGGGCTCAATGGGAAAAGCTCAGGTGCCTTGTCCAATTTTCCATTTTCTGTTCAAGCGGCTTCCTCAGAACCAATAATAACAACAACAACAACAGCAACAAGAAGAGGGTCTGCAATGGCCTTCCTCCTCTTCCTCTTCCTCTTCCTCCTCCTCCTCATTTTCTTTTGGAAAAGTCACTTTCTATAAACCATCCAGTTTGCCCTTTTTTGCAGATAGATTGATGTGTTTTTTTTGGGGAGGGGCGCTTCGTGAAAAAGCCGCATTTCAAGTGGAGGGCCCATGGTGCACAATGCGGTTGCTGTTATTACAAATATCATTTATTTATACAGCGTCACCCATGCATATGGCGCTTTACAAACTGCTGCAGAATGAAACATTTATATACTGTTCAATAATACGAAATACCAAACTACAGTCCAAAACACACTGCAGAAATAATGCAGTTTGAGACCGCTT